CAGATTCTCCAGCATCGGCAGTTCCTAGTACCTCTACTTAATCAGGGCTTGGATTTGAACTTTATTTGGACGTGACAACACTACCCTGTGCAAGTTCACCTCCATGTCACAAACCACACTGATTTGGAAATACACCATCGTTCATTCATTGGTGCTGCATCTAAATCTTGGAACTCACTAACTAATAGAACACTATCGTTGTAGACTGCAGCAGTTCAGGAACGCAGCTCACTACCACCTTCTCTGGGGCAATTAATAATGGACAATAAATGCTAATAATAGCCAGCAACCATATCCTCATGAATGAAGAAAGGGAAAGCCTTGCAGTTTGATTAATCTTCAGGCATCACATTTAGGGACCGAGCTACTGGGGAATTCTCTTGATTCTACTAAAGGAAATTTAACATGCTTTTAAAAAACCTTACAAATTTAAAGGATATTTTTAATAAATTTACCCAAAGTTGTCACAATTATCTTAACCCCAATAACATCTTTAATCATTTATAACTTGGATGTCAACTAAATTATTAATGAAGATTTACTCATTTTATAAGTCTACTTGGGCTGAATTCTGATGGACCTTCAAGCCTGGCCCAGCCAATCAACTTGAAATTTTTCCTGCCCTGCCTCAACTGATACTGTGCATTAGACATAAGTGGTTTTAAAGCCTGGAGTTTTTCAAATGAGCGGCTTAACTGATGTGCATCAGATTAAGTGCAGCTAATATGCCATGTCTATGTTACACTGAGCAGCCATTCATATTTTGCTGAAAATCATTGGATGAGTTTTACAACTAGAATCTGAAGTATTATATAAAAATTACAACATCCAAAATGTAATAAAATGAAAAATATAATGGATCTCATTGTTCTTCTAATAAAACACTTAAATACAAAAAAAGCCAAGGTTGAAAACAGTGTGTGCAGTGTCAATTTATTGGATGTTTTAAGTCACTCAAAAGGATTATTGTTCAATCTACAGATATGAAAAACTGTAAAACAATATTGCTTCCCAAAATTCAAACATTTCAGGATCAAAGAAAGGGCCATATTGTTAAAAACATAGATTGGCATTTTTACTCATGTTGCGTGAACAATATTCCAAGTCTCCGGAAGCTGGCATTTCTCAGTTTCATGCTGTCCATAAATCCAAAGTAAATAACTATGATGTTATAGTGCTGACTTGCGCTATATGAGATACTTTTTCCTTTGCTTAAAACATTACAGACATGCACGACAAGCAACATAGTCAGAAAGTACTGACTTTATTGAACTGATCAGATTACAAGTTAAGAGACATGCTGTGTTGGACAGACAGTGCAACAATAAAGGCTGCTTGTTAACACAGCAGCATCTATACAACCCATCGTTCTGTAAAACCAAAGGCAGCCTTTTAAGATGCACAAATGTTTGTCAGAAGGGGAATGGACACATTTACAATCATGGATTCCTACATCTTTGGCCTGTGCAAGACTGTGGAGACAAGCACATCACTCTGTCTATGATGCCTTTTAAATTACATCGAACCACAATGTGGTTTCAATTACAGCTTTTGGATAAAAACACTTGATTTATTCAATGCTTCAGTCCAATTACCCTAGATGTGTTTCCAGTGAATACTTTGAGAAAGTATTCCAAGTTGCTTCCCATCCTGTAGTGGTCAAAAGGCCAAAAACAGCCTCTGGAAGTGTTAACTCTTTAGGTTCTTTCCTCAGCTATGCTCTTAAAGTGTTTCTGTATTCTAAACTGGTTTTGTCTACAGTAATAAAATACACTTGAACTTGACTGGTCATTGTTGGTTTGGGAACTCAGCCTTGGGCAGAATAAAGTTTGCTTGCAGTGAAATATTAAGATCGAATAGACCACTAGATGGAGCAATACAGGTAAGCGCAACTTTCCATTTTGGGCAGAAATATATGAAAAACTTAACAAAAATTTATTGCTGTCTAAGGCAAGTCACAGAGTAACATTGGCTGCAATACTAGAAATATTCACAGCTTCGCTCCAAGATTGTAAGTTAGCAGAAAACATCTAGCAAAAGGCAGAAAAGTGAAACAAAAGCGAAATTAAAAAACAATATAATAGCGTTTTCAGTAAACCATAGATAGGGTGCAGTGTCATCCACCAGGCATAAAGGTTACTGTAGGAATCAGAGACACCAAGCACTTATTGCTGAAAGGGGGCGGAGTTTTTCAATGAATCTGAAAATTCAATGTTTATCCAAATCTGATTCAAGGATAATTTAATACAAAGAAAGTATCCTATGTTCTGCATTTTCCAGCTGTTAACTGAAGGCTATGCTTCTGTTGCAGATGCCTGTAGTTTAAGTAAAATGTGTATGTCCAGAAGGATAATGATGAGATGGTGTCAGGTGCAAATCATGATTTCCACTGATCTGCAATTCACATTCCATTAAAATTTTAGCTTCTTTTGGCCAAAGGAATTGAAGAGTACTATCAGGCTTGAGTGAAAATATGATTGCTATTACTGTCATATGATTTTTGATCACGAACACACTCAATAAAATTAATTCTATCTCACTAACTTATTCAAAATGTTGACCAGTTTAAAATTTGTAGCTGATGGAAAAGCTTTAAATGTCTGACATATTACCAGAATATCAAAAAAGTCAATTTCATATCCTTGGTTATAAATCTAACTATTAGAACAAATAAATCAGAGACTCAACAAAAAAAAATTGACCCTTGATGAGATTGTTGCCATGGGAAGGCTGTACCGAATCACTATGCTTACGGTACAAAGAGCAGTTGTAACCATTATTATTTTTGGCTGGTAAAATATTTTCTACCTGTTGTGCAGGAGAGATGAAGCCACAGTAAAAGAGGCTACATGAAGGAAATAAAGACAAGTGAAAGTCTCAGTTAATTTCCGAATGAGATGTCATATTTTCTCTCAACAATCACTGAAAGTATTAAATTATCTTTTTCAGAAATAAAAATTAGACACGAGAGCCAATGATAAATCTGACTCATTAATATCTTTACTCAGACAACAAGATCAAAGGAGTGGTGTATTTCTCTGGATGATTGAATGAGTCATTGTTAACTACCAATCATTATATCATTAAGCCAAGCAGTGCTGAACTACTGGTTGAGTTTTAATTGGGGAGCCTGATTTTAATTAACCAACTGAGTTCAAGCAGGAGAAATAGGACAAACAGGTAAACATATGTGAGTGAAGAAAAAGGTTAAAACATTTTACTGCAAGAAGAGGTTCCAGAGGAGTAAATATACAAAGGAGAGGACAAATTAATAGCCATACAGCTAGCCTTCCAAAATTTGGGGGCCACACACTTACCACAACAGTTGGATCATTCCAATCCTCATATGACTTGGCAGCGTATGGATAGATTCTGTCATTGATAATTTGCAGAGTAGCAAGTGCGATGGCTTTCATTGACTTAAAGTAAGCTTCCCAGAACCACCTTGCCTGCAACAAAAACAATAGGATTAAAATACCTTTCCAACTTGGAAAGCTGGTTCCCTGTTTTAACAAAATTATTTATTGTATTTATTTTTGCACTATTTCATCTCAACAAATCTCTATCAAATAAACGCAAAGGAATAATGTAGAGTTTGGAAAGATACCAGTCTGAAATAATTCTCCAGTACACTTCTTGGCAGTACTTTGACAACACATGTCGGTATGGTATCAATTCTTATGCAAGTACCCACAAAAACACATGCTTAGACAAGGTTTTATCAGGATAATTTAATTTTGAAGACAGAATAATGATGGTAAATGTCAACTCCGCCATACATGGTTAGACAAAGAAGATCCTTCAGCCCATCTTAGTTCAGCCATCCGGAAAGACCTTACATTACTCACAGCCTTCAATCAACTGCTGTGTAGAACAGAACTGTCTCTTGCTGGCCCTCTGTAAGAGCAAATGAACTGGTGCCACTACCTCAGACTTACCCCAGAGACCTGTAATTCTTTTCTCCCATTGGGGGTTTCTACAAGCACCAAATGTAACTGCCTCCACCACACTTTCAGGCTATACGTTCTAGGTCCCAATGACAAGATGTGTAAAAGAGGTTTCCTCACTTTGATAATCACTTGAAATCATTGTCCTTTGGTTTTTGACTCTTCTGCCTACAGGAGGTTTCTATCTGGATTTCTCCTGATTTTGAACACCTCAAATCCTCTCTGAAATTTTACTTAGAGTCATAGAGTAATAGAGCATGGAAACAGGCCCTTCAGCCCAAACTGGTCCATGCTGACCATGGTGCTCATTCAGCTAGTTCCAATTGTCCACATTTGGTCCATATCCCTCTAAACCCTTCCCATCCATGTACCTATCCAAATATTTTTAAAATGTTGATATTGTACCTGCTTCAACCACTTTCTCTGGCAGCCCATTCCATATACACACCACTCACTGCGTGAAGAAGTTGGCCCTCAGGTCCTTCTTAAATTTTTCCTCTCTCACCTTAAACCTATGTCCTCTAGTTTTCAATTCCCCATCCCTGGGAAAAAGACTATGTGCATATATCCTATCTATGCTCCTCATAATTTTATACATCTCAATAAGGTGACCCCTCATTCTCCTACGTTCCATGGAATAAAGTCCTATCCTGGCCAACCTCTGCCTATAACTTAGGCCTACTAGTCCTGGCAACATCCTCATAAATCCTCTTTGCACACCTTCCAGTTTAACTAGATCTTTCCTATTATAGGGTGACCAAAACTGTACACAATACTCCAAGTGCAGCCTCACCAATGACTTATACAACTATAACATAATGTCCCGACTCCTTTATGCAATGCCTCAACTGATGAAGGCCAGCATGCTAAATGCCTTCTTCACGACCCTCTCTACCTGTGATGCCGCTTTCAATGAAATATGTACTTGTACTTTGAGGTCCCTCTGTTCCACAACACTCTCAGGACCTTACCATTTGCTGTGTAAGTCCTACCTTGGTTTGACTTTCCAAAGTGCAACACTTCACACTTATTTATATTGAATTGCATTTGCCATTCCTCAGCTCACTTCCCCATCTGATCAAGGTCTCTCTGTAATTTTTGATAACCTTCCACATGATCAACGATACCTCCTAATTTTGTATCAACTGCAAACTTACTAATCATGCCTTGCAGATTCAACTCCAAATCATTTATGTAAATAACAAATAACAAAGGTCCCAGCACTGACCCCTGCGGTATACCACTAGTCACAGGCTTCCAGTTCCGAGAAACAACCTTCAACCATCACCCTCTGCTTCATACCATCGAGCCAATTTTGAATCCAATTAGCTAGCTCTCCCTGAATCCCATGCGACCTAACTTTCATGACTAGCCTGCCGTGCAGGACGTTGTCAAAGGCCTTACTGTGTCAAAGAGCTTACTAGACCTTCCTGGAAAAGATCAATCTAGCTTCCTCAAATCTTTCCATTTAATTGAACTCCCTCATCCCTGCCTTGCTTTTGTACTCTATGCCTCCATTTATAAAGCTTAAGGTTTTGCATGCCTTTTTAACTACTTTCTCAACTGTCCTGCCAACATCAACAATTCATAGAATCATAGAAACCCTACAGTGTGGAAGCAGGCCATTCAGCCCATCGAGTCCACACCACCCCTCTGAAGAGCATCCCACCCAGACTACCCAATTTGTGTATTTATACATCACATGTCTCTGTTCCCGCAGCAATTTTATTTTCTTTCTTTGTGGGACGTGGCTGTCATTGCCCATCCCTAATTGTCCACTATGCAGTTAAGAGTCAACTATACTTATGGTTCTTGTGAAGATTTGTAGCTTGGGTTGTGGGTGAGGTTGTTGACTTGCTCGCCAAGCTGGCTGGTTATAGTTCAGGCGTTTCATCACCATGCTAGGTAACATCATCAGTGCAGCCTCCGATGAAGTGATGTTCTACTCCGCTTAGAATTTATACTGGCCGGTCTGTTGAGGTGTTTTGTGTCATTTCCGGTTCTCTTTTGCAAGGGTTTGTATCCACAGATGCCTACTAGATAGACAACACCAAGAGGACACAATATGACCTAATACACTGGCCACACTACTGTATGTCAAGAGCACATCGGAACTGACAACGAGATTCCTACTAGGAATCAGGATAGCACACAAACCCATTGCCACACAACAACAAACACTTACAAGGACCAAAGACCCATATCCACGACATGCAGGACCAACTTAGTGTCCAAAATAGCGCTGCAAGGACTGCCAAAAACATTACATCAGCCAGATAGGAAGGAAACTAGCCATCAGGATACACGAACACCAGGTAGCAGTAAAACGACGCAACAAACTTTTCCTCATTCCAGTGCACTCGGACAACGACGGCCATCGAGTTAACTGGGACGACATGACCATCCTAGCTCAAGCCAACCATAGACATGCACGGGAATTCCTACTGGCCTGGTTCTCCACCCATAATGCAATCAATAAACATTTGGAATTAGACTCCATTTACAAACGCTTGCAAAAAAGAACCAGAAATGACACAAAACACCTCAACAGACCGGATCATGTAAATACTAAGTGGAGTAGAACAGCATTGCTTCATTGGAGGCTGCACCTATGATGTTACCTAGCATGGTGACAAAACGTCTGAACCATAACCAGTCAGCTCGGCGAGCAAGTCAACAACCTCAGCCAACTATACTGTTGTAGGTCTGGAGTCACATGTAGGCCAAACAAGTACGGATGGCAGATTTCCTTCCTTAAAGAACATCAGTGAACCAGATGAGGTTTTACAACAATAAGCAGTGGTTACATGTATTTTCATTTCAGACTTTTATTGCCCTAGTGGCAGATGGTGGAATTTGAATTCATTAAATAAATTTGAATTCAATAAATATCTAGAATTAAGAATGAAATGATGACCGTGAATCCATCGTTGACTGTCAGAAAAATCCATCTGGTTCACGAAATGTTCTTTAGGGAAGCAATCTGCCATCCTTACCTGCTCTGGCCTACTTGTGACTCCAGGCCCACTGCAATGTGGTTGATTCTTAACTGCCCTCTGGGCAATTAGCGATGGGCAATAAATGCTGCCTAGCCAGCGATGCCCTCATCCCATGAATAAATATAGAAAAAATGTAGAAACAGATCTAGCAACTGAAAACTTAATAAAATGTACTCAGCACAGATTCCAAAAGGGAAGGCTGTTCTCAACCAACTTAATTGAACTTTCTGAAGAGTTAACAGAAAAGCAAGATGCAATATATTCAAATTTCCAAAAAGCCTTCAACAACTACTGTAAATTCATGTTTAAGGTTAGAAGATGTGCAGCCAGAATGGACAAAAAGCAAAAAGTACAGGTTACAACTAATTTATCTGATTGGCAAATGGTATTTCATAATGATCAGTTATAGGCTGGCTATTGTTTATCAATTATGTAAGTGATTTGGACAGAAGTATTTGAAATAAAATTTCATAATTCACATCTTAAGACATTGCAGTTAAAAATTGGAAATGGTCTTCAATAAACATAAATGTAAACTAATACATTTTGATGGGAACAATTTGAAGAACTCCTTAGGGTAGAGGTATACTGTACAGCAATCTGGGGTGGACAGATACACAATTAAAAGTAAAAATGTTGGCTGATGAGCATACAACACACGAGTTCACATCTAGAAGCTAGAATTTACAATTTTGATTAAATCACATTTGGAGCACCTTAAATAGTTCTGGTTTCCATATCACAAAAAGCACTGAAATTACTAGAATTATAACAAGACTGAAAGATTAAGCCCATCAGGAAAGTTTGAGCAAGATGGCCTGGTTTACTTTGGAAAACAAATATGCAAATACAGTAGAAATTTTCAAGGTTAGAGAAAGGTACCTAGAGAGACGTTTCAACTTGCAGGCATAAGAACTGGGGCCCAAAATACCTAAGACAGTGAATGATATATCCAATAGGGAAGTCAGGAAAAGCTTATTTATTAGCGTGATCACCACGGGAGGTGGTTGAGGCAACTAACACAGATTCATACTTAAAGGAAAGCCAGATAAACACATGAAGGAGCAAGAAATAGAAGAATATATTTTCAGACGAACGATGGTGGAAAGAGGTTCATAACCACAGGCATAGATTTGTTGGTACAAATAGCTTGTTTATGTAATTAAATACTTTCTAAAATCATTGTTATGTGCCTCCTTTGAACTGAAAATCCAAAGTGACATCAGTCTTTTCTCATATGTCTGAACTTTAACATGAGACCAACTTTATGGTTCTTGTGTCTAGTGCCTGAATGTCAACTCTGCCTCTTGACAATGAGAATTGCACACAACATACTAGGCATGGTATAAAGCTTACCCACAAGTTGCCTATGATCTTTATTTTACTGTTTTGGATTTATACTTCAACATTCAATTGGTTTTGTAATGGTTGGACATACAATGTTCCATAGATGTCATGGTTTATATCCATTAGCAAGTTAAACAGTTATTTCAGTCAT